TAAAATATTTAAAGATGGAAGATAAAAAGATAAAGATGGAATGAAAATCAGATAAACAAAAGAGTTTACGCTATGGTTGCCTAGTATTGGGAAGTTCTGATGAGTTAGAGTGGGAATACAGCATTCACACAAGGACAGAAGACGTGGTTATATGCCTATAGGGAGCAAGGGGTTTTAACTGGCATCCCTATATAAATGCAGGACTGTGGGATGGTAGTAGAAAGACTAGAAAGGAATTCACATACTGGTGGAGGAAATCTTTCTTCATCTGAGCTCCGGATGAAAAAAAAATCTGTTTTTGGAAATCAAAAACTCTAGCTCAGAATTTCCACTACTATTGTAGTACAGAAACTCCAAGCCAAGAAATTTGCATACAGATTGTCCCCGAGCCAGAGATGCCCCTGGGATGCCTGGCAAAAGCAAATGCAATGCTGGGAAAATATGTATTGGAGAAATACTAAGCAAAAGAAAGATAGAGTAATTATGTTAATATCAGAGGGGAATGGGAAGGAAGACTTTAGAAAAAACTTGGGATAGAGAAGATGTAAAGAATAATTGTTCTATGTATTCTGTATAGAAATCCAAAAGATACAGCAACTCCAAATGCATGAATGCATGAAACTAACTGGGCTAAAAATATGCAAATAACAATTTGATAGTATTACCAGGATAATTAATAAATACAAATCATATGAGAAACTTTAAGATGTCCCAATCATTAACAGAAAATATATACAACAATTCTATAAGGTTATAGCTACACAGTTTTCCAGTTTGATCTATTTGACATGTATAGGAAATGCTGCAGTCATTAACAAGAAAGGCCCATTTTTATATTGAACATTTTATTAAAATGTATATTCTGTATTTATCAGATGCAATACCTTAAGGGTCACAAAACAATTCTCACATAACATCAAAATACCAGTAGCATATAGACCTTGTTTTCTGCCCACATTTAAGTTAGATATCAGTATTAAAACTGTAACACACACCTTGTATTTGGATATTTAAAAAATTATTTGAACTAATATGTATATTATCAAAAGAATGATAATAGAAATTTTAAAATTTAGAATGTAAGATAATAAGACTGTATCAAAATTAATGTACAACATCTATACAGAAAATCTGTAGCCTTAAAGGCATCCAGGTAGAGTTGAACAAAGGTAATAGTAAGCATAGAACTTAATATTGAAGTTGAAAAAATATAAAATAAGGATCTACAAATCCCAAAACTCATTCTTTGAAAATACTAATATATTAGCTACTTCTAGCAAAACTGATAAAGGAAAAATAAGAAACAGAAGTGAGTTAATGACAGAAAAGGGGACAAAATAACAGATGTATGGCAGTGCTTTTTTTTTGGAAGCACAAGAATAGAATGAACAACTAAATCCAAGTGAATTAGAAGAAATAAAAATGTTAAAAATCATAATGTATTTATAACCATTATTATTTATTTGAAAATATTAAGTGAAATGAAAATATACATTGAGAATGTACCCTCTTTCCCCATCCCGCACACAAAATATGAGGATCAGTGTATGTATGAATCCTAGCACTCCTTTGTAAAATGGAAAATCCTCATGCTACATATAAACTCTTAGAAAATCTAGAAAAAGAAGCAAATATCTCTAAATATTTGTGAGGTTGTATAATCCAGATATCAAAATCAGATAAGGACAAAAGGTATGTAAAATTGTCAACCAATAACTTACAAATATTTATTGAAATAGCCTAAAAATATTAGTGACCAATTACAGAAAACATATCATGACCAAGTAGATCTTATTCCAGGAATATATGCATTTTTTAACATTGTAAAGTGAAAAGGCTTACAATTATCTCAAAAGATGATTTAACATCTCCTTGTGATAAAATCTCTTAGCAAAGTAGGAAGAGAAGTGATATTTTTTCATCTGAAAGAGAATTTTTGAGGAAGGTATAGTAAACATCTTTTTTTAATTTTTAATTTATATATATATATATATATATATGTATATGTATTTATTTATTTCTCAATTTAGTTAATATACAGTGTAGTCTTGGCCTCAAGAGTAGAATCCAATGGTTCATAACTTACATATAACACCCAGTGCTCATCCCAACAAGTGCCCTCCTTAATGCCATCACCCATTTTCCCCATCTTCCCCAGCCCTCCACCCCCATCAACTCTAAGTTTGTTCTCTGTATTTGAGTCTCTTATGGTGTGCCTCCCTCTCTGTTTTTTCTTATTTTTCCTTCCCTTCCCCTATGATCATCTGTTAAGTTTCTCGAACTCCACATATGAGTAAAATCATGTGATGTCTGTTTTTCTTTGACTTATTTTGCTTAGCATAATATTCTCCAGTTCCATGCACATTTTTGCAAATGGCAAGCTTTCATTCTTTTTCATGGCTGAGTAGTATTCTGTCGTGGAGTTTTCTTAATCCATTCATCAGTTGATGGATATTTGGGCTCTTTCCAAAATTTGGCAATTGTTGATAGCACTGCTATAAACATTGGGGTACATGTGCCCTTTCGAATCAGCAATCTTATATCCTTTGGATAAATTCCTAGAAGTGCAATTGCTAGGTCATAGAGTAATTCTATTTTTAATTTTTTGAGAAACCTCCATACAGTTTTCTAGAGTTACTGCACCAGTTTGCATTCCTGCTAACAGTGCAAGAGGATTCCCCTTTCTCCACATCCTCACCAACATCTGTTATTTCCTTAGTTGTTAATTTTAGCCATTCTGATGGGGCTGGGGTGGTATCTCATTGTGATTTGTATTTCCCTGATGATGAGTGATATTGAGCATCTTTTCATGTGTCTTTTAGCCATCTGTATGTTTTCTTTGGAAAAGTGTGTATTCATGTCTTCTGCCCATTCTTAATTGGGTTATTTGTTTTTTGGGTGTTGAGTTTGGTAAGTCCTTTATAGATTTTTGGTATTAACACTTTATCACATATGTCATTTTCAAATATTGTCTTCCATTCCATAGGTTGCCTTTTAGTTTTGTTGATTATTGCCTTCACTGTGCAGAAGCTCCTTACCTTGATGAAGTCCCAATAGTTCATTTTTGCTTTTGTTTCCCTTGCTTCTGGCTATGGGTGTAGTAAGAAGTTGCTAAAGAAATAGATTGGAAAGATTTTTTAAAAACAAAAAGTAATGACTCTCTTATGTAAAGTTCACTTCTCTGGGCACATGTGGATGGCTCAATTCTTGATTTCAGGTCATAATCTCTTGTTCCTGAGATTGAGCCCTGTGTTGGACTCAGTGCTGACAGCATGGAGCCTGCTTGGGATTCTCTCTCTGCCTCTCTCTCTCTCTCTCTCTCTCTCTGCCCCTCACCCCTGTTTGCTCTCTCTCTCTCTCTCTCTCTCTCTCTCTCTCTCTCTCCCAAAATAAATAAACATTTAACATATAATAATAATAAAGTTTACTTAATTGGACTATTTGGAACAAATGTAGAACAGAGCATTAAAAATAAACATATGAGTCCAACTGTATGATGTTCTGGAAAAAAAACAACAGTATGGAGAAATTTAAAAGATCAGTGGTTGCCAGGGGTTCAATAAGGACGGGGTAGAGGAAGGATGAAAAGGTAGAGCACAGGAAATTGTTAGGGCAGTCAAACTATTCTGTATGATACTGTAGTATTGGATACATGGCGTTATGCATTTTCAATACACATAGTATTTATGACACAAAGGGTGAACCCTAATGTAAACTATGAATTTTAGTTAATAATTATGTATTAATATTGGTCATCAAAGGTAATGAATATATCACACTAATGAAAGATGTTAATAATAGGGTCAGGGGAAAGACACTGGATATTTGGGAACTTTGTACTTTCTGATAGTTTTTTCTGTAAATCTGAAACTGCTGTAGGAAACAAGTTATATTAATTTAAAACAAACAAAAATGCATAGCACCTGAATTAAAACCACAATACTTGGGCTCTAAGCAGATTTCCTTTTCTCATATATGGGATGCTCAGGCATTCTCTCAGGGCATCTCTACTTTTGTTTTAGTTATACTATTAACAAATCCAGTATACTGATTTCCCATTTAAGTTGTTAGAAAGGGTACATTCAAGGAAGGAAGAAACATTTATTGTAACAATTTTCATCTAGCAGAAAAAAGTGATATTGGAAGGTCTGTCAGTATAGACCTGCCACTTTGCATTAGCTACTTTCTAATTGTCACCCCGCCCCCCAACAGAACCTCCTGGCTACCCTTGAACCTCTCTTAGAAACTCCCTTACCTCCAGACTTCTTGGGATCCATCAGATACAGGATTAATATATGTTACCCCTAAAGGTCTTCAAAGACAGCGTTAGGACTGTGACTAATGTATCTCCTGATTGGTGTCTTTGCCTTATTTGTTGTCAAAATGTTTGAATATCAAGCATAGATGCAAGAACTCAAAAAAGGCAAAGCAATATGTGGCGATTTAGAATGGAGGTGAGAAACAAAACAACACGGATGAAAATGAAGACTGAAATATGTGGAAATATGTATAGCTTTAGAAATCTATTCTTTTAATTTCTGTAATACTTTAGTTTTCAATGGGGTAATGCAATAATGAGTCATACAGTAAAGGTTAAATTATCTTCTACATGTTCTTTTTCTGAAGCTAGAAAAGTACGTAAATTTTTTTGGAAATATCTTTATCCAATACATATTTTTTTAAAATAGGAGTTTTCCACATCTCCCTGAGGTCTTCTGTGTGCTCTCATGTTGAACCTCACTGTAGCTCTGAATGTGAAGTTTAGAATTGTCTATTTATAGCTCTGAAGTTCTGTGAGGCCAGCAATTGTAACTTAGTCATCATTGTATAACTAGTACCTAAAATAAATTCTACACAAAATATGGAGAAGATATTTGTCAAAAAGTGTAACTTTTGTTATCTAGAAAAATCCAATTGTTTGTAATGACATTAGATTAATTTGACTTTTTAAGAAAAAATAACACATTATAGGAGAATAAATATCTTAAATTTTTTTTCAGATCAGAGAATTGTCAGCATGCAAATTCAGACAGTTACCAAATTCAAAACAGTTACTAATGTTGTTGGATATTTAAAGGGCTTGACATCTCCAGGTAAGTAGGGCTAAGTATTTATATCTATATTTATAATCTATTTATAATCTATACTTTATATGAACCATCACAAGAAAATTCTCTATAACAATGTAATAGCATAATTAAATGACCTACTTTAGATGTAACTAGTTCACACACACCACTATAAGAGTGAGTCAATATGAAATGAAGAAGTAGGCCTTCATTCTCTTTCTCATTCTCTTCAAAAATAAATCAAAGTAGGAAGTGTAAGGGGAAAAAACCCAAAATGAGAAAACAGAGTTTAGATTTATTAAATTGGCATGTGCCTCATGAAGAAAAGCTACAAAAAGCCAATGGTTTTTTGGGTTATTTTGTTTTTTTATTGCTCTTCTCTGTAACACCACTGGAATTTTCACTTTTATCAAGAAAAGACTACTTTAGGGGCGCCTGGGTGGCGCAGTCGGTTAAGCGTCCGACTTCAGCTAGGTCACGATCTCGCGGTCCGTGAGTTCGAGCCCCGCGTCGGGCTCTGGGCTGATGGCTCAGAGCCTGGAGCCTGTTTCCGATTCTGTGTCTCCCTCTCTCTCTGCCCCTCCCCTGTTCATGCTCTGTCTCTCTCTGTCCCAAAAATAAATAAACGTTGAAAAAAAAAATTTTTTTTTAAAAAATAAAAAAAAAAGAAAAGACTACTTTAGAAAGAAAATATTTTAGTTTTAATGATGTCTTTTTTAAAAAATAAAAGTTTTTATTTCCAAAATATGATCTTTCAGTGTTATACTATATTTTCTATGAGCCTTGGTCCACTGACAGTTCTGCCTAATGTTTACATGGCTTTAGATTTTGAAGATGCTTATGAAAATGATCACCTGGTAAAATTTTAAATTATTTTCCGCCTGTCTTTAGGATGCTTATGGCATCTTCAGATGATGTTATGCAGGCTAAAAAAGTAAAACATACTGGTACATATATTAATTAAGAGATTAATATAGCAACACTTCCAAATACATTGTGAGGTTGAGCCACATGCTGCTATCTGATGTGCTTAGTATGCAGGGTAGAATGCAGTGGTCTATTTAGCACACTTGTGTCACTTCTGTTGATTTGGTTGGGATATTTACTCAAGTTCTCCTTGGAGAATTATTTTTTGCCACAACTTTTGTCAAATTGACTCTATAATTGATAACCCAGAAAATTCTGAAATCAAGTTTTACGTACCCCCAAGTTTCCTGCCAGCCAACTTCTATAAAATTTATGGAAGATACGTATTTTCTCTGATTTCCTTACAGTAGCAATGGTGAACAACCTCTGATTTAATGTCTTTAAATACAATGTATAAATAGATTTGGAAATTGGTACTGTTGCATTTCAATTATTTCAACCAGTTTTCATCATCAGAATCTCTAACTGAAGCACCAGAAATATTTGTCATCATTGGTGCATTTGCTAGTTTTTATGGAAAAACCAAATTGTACAAAACTATATTAGCTTTAGGGTAAAATAGCTTTCCAAATTGAAATTCAATATAGAAAAAATCAATTTCTTAAAATCAATTTACTAGTAGTATTCTTCAGTGTATAATATGTAAAGCTTCTCAAATTTTGCTTATTTGAATCCTACACAAAAATATTAGCTGCTCATTAACATGATTTTCTTATTTAATGGCTCTGAAAATTAGAAACAATCATCAATTAGTATTAAGGCTTTTACATATGGTTTATCTAGAATACAGATAATCCCAAGCAGAACTTTCGCACATATCTCGGAGATGAGTAAATACATTTCCTGAGTTTCAACCTTTACAGCCACTGTATATATACTATTACTTAAATTTTGATAAAACATTGGCAGATCAAATTTATTGCTGGTTCAAAAATCAGTATAGAAAACTAAAATAGCTTCACACAGTGATTTTCCATCAAATAGCTTTTTGCTGCCACGAAGGGATAATTCATTTATTCCACACATAGGCAGTCCTTATGTGATAGGCCCTGTTAAAAGTGCCTTGCAAATAGTAACTCATTTAAAACTCAAAGCAACTAGGAGGAGAGGCCAACAAGGCAGAGAAGTAGGGGGATCCATACTTCCTGCATCTCTCAAACAAAGATGGGTTGAAGCCAAAGGACTTTGAACCCCAAGAGTCTGGGAGGAAAAGAGTCTGAATCTACTAGGGAGACACTGGGATGGTGGGCCATATGTGGGTGATTACAAACTGGGGCAGATAAAACGGGCTGTGTAGGCATGAAGGGGAGGGATCCCCTTCTGTGGAGAAACAAAGGGAGAGAAACAGCAACTGGGTAAGCATAGGACTGTATCTGGACAAGAGAAAAACCTCAGACGGGGATGGAGAGGGATCCCATCTCTAACTGTGGGCTTCTATGGACCGGGGCAGGTGCCCTGTTCTCGCACCTGGGAGGAGGGAAACCAGCCCTGGACTCAGTAGCTAGGTCAGGGGCTCAGTCCACAGTAGGAGAAAGTGGTCCCCTCCTTGGAGTACTGTGAGAGAGGACAAAACAAGCCAGGACCACATATTGGGTGGCATAGAGAGGTGCTTTCCCAGTGCCAGGGCTCACGGAGCAGGAGTTTAAATCCCAGCCAAGCTCCAGGGCATGGGAGTCGGTGGAACAAGACAGATGGCCTTGTCTGCACCCATAGCACAGTGAGGATGGCTCCACAGGGTCTGTGGAGAAGAGACTGGGTGGGGGAGGGGGGGTTGCCATTTCTTTCCCCACCACCACCAAGGTGGAGCCTCAGGGATTGATCTGCAGGGCCCACAGTGGAGGCAGGACTCACCTACACCAAACCATGCCCCTCCGTGCCAGATGACTGCATATCTACTGGGACAGGATAGATGCTGAGGAACCAGAGGACCCACTCCTCCAGACCAGTGCTGCTGCATTGCCTGGATTAATTCTCAGAGGTTATTTAGATATATCCTTCCTTCATTTTCTCCTTCTTATCTCTTCCCTCCTCTAGGCTGGTTACTCTGGTTGTTGGTTTGTCTAAACAGACATATTTAATCCATTCTCTTGATACATGTTCTACACCTCCTTTACTTCCCTTTCTCTGTCTCTGGAATAATCAAGCTATATAGTTTCTCTGTCTGGGTAACTTTATCTTAATTTCTTCTCCCCCTGCCTCCTTCCTTAATTTCCTTTCTCTCTGTCTGGATTAAGCCTTTTAGTCTCTCTGCCTGGTCAATGTTTATTGCTTCTTTTTCCCCACCCCTGTCATTTTTCTCTTTGTATGTGCTCTTCCATCAGCATCGCCTTCACCCTGTTCTTTACTTGTAGTGGGTGTTTCTGGTTTTTTACTTTTAGATTGTTGTTTGTTTGTTTGTTTGTTTTTTGTTTGTGTGTTTGCATGTTTTTGTTTCCTGTTTGTTTTCCTTTCCAGGGCTACTTCAAGGAACAAATCAAAGCACATTTGGTGGAGAGCCCAAAACATCACTAGGAAAATAACCCAAGTCACAACAACAGAAATCAAGTAACACTCTCCCCAAAAAAAAAAACACCTCCTGAAGGGCCAGGCCCTGGACAGTGTGTGACGCCCCTTTAATATAGCAGTACTTTCAGATGGAGAGCACACAACAAGCTTTTAAAACTCATAAGGCAGGGGTGCCTGGGTGGCTCAGTTAGTTAAGCGTCCAACTTCAGCTCAGGTCATGATCTTGCGGTTTGTGAGTTCAAGCCCCGCGTCGGGCTCTGTGCTGACAGCTCAGAGCCTGGAGCCTGCTTCAGATTCTGTGTTTCCTTCTCTCTCTGCCCCTCCCCTGCTCATGCTCTGTCTCTCTCTGTCTCAATAATAAATAAAACATTAAAAAAAAAAACAACGAAAACTCATAAGGGACAGAAAACTAGCCAAAATAACCAAACAGAAGAATTCTCCTCAAAAAAAATTCCAGGGAGAAGTGACAGCTAAAGAATTGATCAAAACAGATATAAGCAATATAACTGAACAAGAATTTAGAATAATAGTCACAAGATTAATCACTGGTCTTGAAGAAAGCATAGAAGATAGCAGAGAATCTATTGCTGCAGAGATCACGGAACTTAAAAAAAGTCATGATGAGTTTAAAATGCTATAAATGAGGTGTGAAATAAAATGGAGGTGACCACAGCAAGGATTGAAGGGGCAGAGGGGAGAATAGGTTAATTAGAAGATAAAATTATGGAAAAAGAGGAAGCTGAGAAGAAAGAGATTAAAGAAATCCAGGATCACAAGAGGAGAATTAGAGAACTAAGTAATGCAATCAAATGGAACAATATCTGTATCATAGGAATTCCAGAAAAAGAGAGAGAAAGGGGGTGAAGGTGTATTTGAACAAATCATAGCTGAGAACTTCCCCAATCTGGGGACAGAAACAGACATGAAATCCAAGAGGCACAGAGAACTCCCTTTAGACAATCCCAGAAGAATCAATCTTCTGCACGATATATCATAGGAAAACTAGCAAAATACCAGGATAAAGAGAGAGTTCTGAAAGCAGTTAAGGATAAACGGGCTTTATCATACAAAATAGACACATAAGGGTAGTAGCCGACCTATCTATTGAAACTTGGCAGGCCAGAGAGGAATGGTAGGAAATATTCGATGTGATGAACAGAAAAAATATGCGGCCAAGAATCCTTTATCCAGCAAGCCTGTCATTCAGAATAGAAGGAGAGCTAAAAGTTTTCCCAAACAAACAAAAACTGAAGGAATTCATCACCACTAAACCAGCCCTACAAGAGATCCTAAGGGGGACTCTGTGAGAGAAATGTTGCAAGGACCACAAAGGACCAGAGACATCACTACAACCATGAAACCTGCAGATAACACAATGGCTCTAAACCCATATCTTTCAATAATAACACTAAATGTAAATAGACTATATACTCCAATCAAAAGACATAGGGTATCAGAATGGATAAAAAAACAAGACACATCTATTTGCTGTCTACAAGAGACCCATTTTAGACCTGAGGACACCTTTAGATTGAAAGTGAGGGGATTGAAAGTGAGATAGAAGTGAGAACTATCTATCCTGCTACTGGAAGTCAAAAGAAAGCTGGTGTATGACCACCTGGGTGGCTCAGCTGGTTAAGCATCCGACTTCGGTTCAGGTCATGATCTCACAGTTTGTGGGTTCAAGCCCCACATCACGCTCTGTGCTGACACCTCAGATCCTGGAACCTGCTTCAGATTCTGTGTCTCCCTCTCTCTCTGCCCTTCCTCTGCTCACACTCTCTCTCTCTCTCTTTCAAAAATAAATAAACATTAAAAAAATTAAAAGAAAGCTGGTGTAGCCATACTTAGACAAACTAGACTTTAAATTAAAGGCTGTCACAAGAGATGAAGAAGAGCGTTATATAATAATCCCAGGGTCTATCCATCAGGAAGAGCTAACAACATAAATATGTATGCACCGAATTTGAGAGCACCCAAATATATAAAACAATTAATCACAAACAAAAGCAATCTTATTGGTAAGAATGTGGTAATTGCAGGGGACTTTAATACTCCACTTACAACAATGGACAGATCATCTAGACACAGAATCAGTAAGAAACAATGTCCCTGGTTCAAGAAACATTGAACCAGATGGCCTTGACAGATGTATTTAGAACTCTGCATCCTAAAGCAACAGAATATACTTTCTTCTCGAGTGCACCTGGAACATTCTCCAAAATAGATCACATATTGGGTCACAAAACAGCCCTCAATAAATACCAAAGAATTGAGATCATACCATGCACACTTTCAGACCACATTGCTATGGAACTTGAAATCAACCATAGGAAAAAGTCTGGAAAACCTTCAAAAGCATGGAGGTTAAAGAACATTGTACTAAAGAATGAATGGGTCAACCAGGCAATTAGAGAAGAAATTAAAAAATATATGGAAACAAATGAAAATGAAAAAACAACAATCCAAACCCTTTGGGAATGCAGCAAAGGCAGTCCTAAGAGAAAATACATTTGCAATACAGGCCTATCTCAAGAAACAAGAAAAATCCCAAATGCAAAATGTAACAGCACACCTAAAGGAAATAGAAGCAGAACAGCAAAGACACCCCAAAAACAGCAGAAGAAGAGAAATAATAAAGATCAAAGCAGAAATAAGCAATATAGAATCCAAAAATAAAACAAAACAAAAGAAAACAGTAGAATGGAGAAATGAAACTAAGAGTTGGTTTTTTGAGAAAATAAACAAAATTGATAAACCTTAGCTAGGCTTCTCAAAAAGAAAAGAGAGAGGACCCAAATAGATAAAATCATGAATGAAAATGGATTTATTACAACCAGTCCCTCAGAAACACAAGCAATTATCAGGGAATACTATGAAAAATTATATGCCAACAAACTGGGCAACCTGGAAGAAATGGTCAAATTCCTAAACACCCACATACTACTAAAACTCAAACCGGAAGAAATAGAAAATTTGAACAGACCCATAACTAGTGAAGTAATTGAATCAGTTATCAAAAATCTCCCAACAAATAAAAGTCTTGGATTCTTCCCTAGGGAATTCTACCAGACATTTAAAGCAGAGTTAATACCTATCCGTCTCAAGCTGTTCCAAAAAATAGAAATGGAAGGAAAACTTCCAGACTCATTCTATGAAGTATGAAGACAAACCAGACAAAGACCAACAAAAAAAGAGAACTACTGGCCAATATCTCTGATGAATATGGATGCAAAAATTCTCACCAATATACTAGCAAATCGAATTCAACAGCATATAAAAAGAATTATTTACCATGATCAAGTGGGATTCATTCTTGGGCTGCAGGGCTGGTTCAATATTTGCAAATCAATCAATGTGATACATCACATTAATAAAAGAAAGGATAAGAACTATATGATCCTGTCAATAGATGCAGAAAAAGCATTTGACAAAATACAGCATCCTTTCTTAATAAAAATCCCCGAGAAAGTTGGGATAGAAGGAACAGCCTTAAACTTCATAAAAGCCATTTATGAAAAGCCCACAGCTAATATCATCCTCATTCAGAAAAATTGAGAGCTTTTCCCCTGAGATCTGGAATACAACAGGGATGTCTACTCTCACCATTGTTGTTTAACATAGTATTGAAAGTCCTAGCATCAGCAATCAGAAAACAAAATGAAATAAAAGGCATCAAAATTGGCAAAGAAGAAGTCAAACTTTCACTTTTCACAGACAACATAATACTCTACATGGAATACCTGACAGACTCCACCCAAAGTCTGCTAGAAGTGATACATGAATTCAGCAAAGTCACAGGGTACAAAATCAACATACAGAAATTGGTTGTATTTTTATACAGCAATAATGAAGAACCAGAAGGAGAAATAAAGAATTGATCCATTAACAATTGCACCAAGAACCATAAAATACCTGGGAATAAACCTAACCAAAGATGTAAAAGATCTGTATGCTGAAAACTATAGAAAGCTTATGAAGGAAATTGAAGAAGACACAAAGAAATGGAAAAACATTCTGTGCTCATGGATTGGAAGAATAAATATTTTTAAAATGTCAATACTACCCAAAGCAATCTACATATTCAATGCAATCCCCATCAAAATTGCACCAGCATTCTTCTCAAAACTAGAACAATCCTAAAATTTGTATGGAACCACAAAAGACCCCAAATAGCCAAGTAATATCGAAAAAGAAAACCAAAGCGGGAGGCACCACAATCCCAGACTTTAGCCTCTACTACAAAGCAGTAATCATCAAGACAGTATGGTATTGGTACAAAAACAGACACATAGACCAATGGAATAGAATAGAGACTCCAGAACTGGACCCACAAAAGTATGGCCAAGTAATCTTTGACAAAGCAGGAAAAAGTATCCAATGGAAAAAACACAGTCTCTTTAACAAATGGTGCTGCGAGAACTGGACAGCAACATGCAGAAGAATGAAATTAGAACACTTTCTTACACCATTCACAAAAAATAAACTCAAAATGGATGAAGGACCTGAATGTGAAACAGGAAATCATACCCTAAAGGAGAAAGCAGGCAACAACCTCTTTGACCTCACTCACAGCAATTTCTTACTCAACACATCTCCAAAGGCAAGGGAATTAAAAGCAAAGATGAACTATTAGGACCTCATCAAGATAAAAAGCTCCTGCACTGCAAAGGAAACAATCAACATAACTAAAAGGCAACCAACCGAATGGGAAAAGATATTTGCAAATGACATATTAGATAAAGGGTCAGTATCCAAAATCTATAAAGAACTCACTAAATTCCACACCCAAAAAAACAAATAATCCAGTGAATAAATTGGCAGAAGACATCAATAGACAATTTTCCAAAGAAGACATTCAGATGGCCAAGGGACACATGAAACGGATGCTCAATGTGACTTCTCATCAGGGAAATACAAATCAAAGCCACACTGAGATACTACCTCACGCTGGTCAGAGTGGCTAAAATGAACAAATCAGGAGACTATAGATGCTGGAGAGGATGTGGAGAAATGGGAACCTCTTTCACTGTTGGTGGGAATGCAAATTGGTGCAGCCACTCTGGAAAACAGTGTGGAGGTTCCTCAAAAAATTAAAAATAGAACTACCCTATGACCCAGCAATAGCACTGCTAGGAATTTACCCAAGGGATACAGGAGTGCTGATGCATAGGGGCACATGTACCCCAATGTTTACAGCAGCACTTTGAACAATAGCCAAATTATGGAAAGAGCCTAAATGTCCATCAACTGATGAATGGATAAAAAAATATG